CACAGAGATCCACCTGCTTCTACCTCCTGAGTGCTGGGATTAAAGGTGTGCACCGCCACGCCTGGCCCAACCATTGCTTTTTATTGATGAGAAATATTCCATTGTGTATAAATAAATATACCACAATTTATTGATTAAGCTATCAGTGAACATTTTGTTCCACTTTTGGGCTCTCAAGAGTAAAGCTTCCATAAAAAAATATGTATCTCTATACACAAATCAATATTTGTTTAGCTTTTTCTTTGATGAAGATTTCAATGTAGAATAGATAAGTTACATGGCCACGTGTGTATTTACTTGTATCAGAAGCTGCTGATCGGCTCTCTGAAGTGAAGTACGTTTTTACATTCCTTTCAGCAGTGCATGCAAGCTCCAGGTGCTCTTCTCAAGCCTCAGCTTCTCCATCCATCTTGAGTCACTGTAGTGGCGTCCTCCTGTGCTTCAGTTTGCATTTTCTTGGTGACGGTGATGTGGAGCATTTTTCCTGTACTTGCCATCCAGAGTTTTCTTCTGTAAAATGTCAGAATTTTGACCATTTTATATTTGAATTGTTTTCTTACTGAATTTTGAGTAATTTATATATTTTGAGTGTCAGTCATCTCTTATACACATGCAGGCACATATGTACACATGAGTGTATACACTTGGACACACACATCAAGCAACTTTTTCTTCCCAGTCTGTGAGTTTCCTTTTTTTTTCCTTTTTTAATGACTTGGAGGTTTTAGTTTTGATGAAGTATCAACTGCTTTTACTTTTTGTGTCTCCCTAAGAAATATTTTACTATCCCAAGGATATGACTCAGTACTGTTTTGCTCATGATAGCCACTGTTGTCCCTGCTGTCTTTATTACTAGTTTTGTTTTTAATTCAGCTACATAGTACTTGCTTTTTGCATCTGACTTCATTTCTGAGCATTAACTCTTTGTTTTCCATTTTTTTTACTGTCCTGTGGTATTCTGCTGAATGACTATGTTACAGTTTATTTGGTGAACATTTGGATTGCTTCTAGTTCTTTGCTATTATGAATAAACCTATTTATGAATGTCCTTATACTTGTCTCTGATGGACGTATACACTTGTTATTCTTATATACATTTCCTAAGGGTAGAATTGCTAAGTTAGGGATAGGTATATATTAGCTCTAATATTACTACTAAATAATTTCTAACGTGATTTTATTAGTTTTTGTTTGTGCCAGTAACATGTTTGGGCATTTTACCTTAACAAATTAGCAGTTTATTGATGTTAATTTTAAATATGATAAAAAATTCATATTTTATGAATATAGTTGCTCCATATACTTGATAACAGTCCTAATTTTGACCATTCTAATGGGGGTATCATGTTTGAGGTTTTAATCTCCATGACAAGTTGAATGAAAAGACTTTGTATATTTTGTACAACCTTCCAATACTAATTTTTTTCCTGTTTTAAAAATTGGCAAAGTTTTGGTTGAAAGTGCAGCATCTAACAAGGATCTTTAAATAATAGTAGGTGTTTTTAAGCTCTTATACAGACACAACAGAAATTTGTGCTGTGTTCCCCTTTTCTCTTGTCCAGGGTATCTTCATAGCAATGGTTCCCACTTAGCCATACATAGGAATCACTTGATGAGCTTTTTAAAATGAACTAAATCTTCCTGGCCATTCATCTAGGAACTCACTGGGCCTGTCATTAAGATACAATCTCTGTGGAGTGGTTGAAAGCTCCCCATGTAGTCCTAACACACAGAAGGTTAATAATCATTGACATATATGAATGAAGCATTCTAATGCCATTTGAGGCCTTGCTGTATACTTTAGGAATGAAATCCCAACTATGATATTCATGTACCCTGTTAATTTATCCTCAGCATTGACCCATTGTAAGGATTCAAGAATCTAGCTTCCAGGGCTGGAGAGATGGCACAGTGGTTAAAAGTACTTGCTGCTCTTGCAGAGGATTGGATGGCTCATAACCACCTGTAACTCCTGCTCCCAAGAAGTTTGACATCTTCTTGTGGCCCCCACAGGGTAGCTTTAGTGTCAACTTGACACACCTGGGTTGAGGGAGCCACAATTGGGGAATTGCCTCTATTGGACTGGCCTGTGGCCACATCTGAGGGGCATCTTGATGAATGATGTGGGAGGGCCCAGCCCACTGTGGGTGGTGCCACCCCTGGGCAGGTGTGCCTGTGTTGCATAAGAAAGCAGGCGGAGCAGGGGCCAGGGGAGCAAGCCAGTAAGCAGTGTTCCTCTGTGGCCTGAAACTAATAAGCAGTGTTCCTCCATGGCCTCTGATCCAGTTCCTGCCTTGAGCTCCTACCTTGGGCTCCCTCAATGATGAACTCTGACTCTGGTAAGATAAAATAAACCCTTTCCTCCCCAAGTTGGTAGTGGTCAGAGTGTTTTGTCACAGCAATGGAGAGACAAACTAGGACACACCCTAAGACAAATACACGTAATTAGAATTTTTTATTATTTTTATTTTATGTGTCTGAGTGTATTGCCTGCATGTGCATAAGTACACCCATGTTGTGCAATGCCCACGGAGGTCAGAAGAAAGCTTTGGATTCCCCGGAACTGGAGATATCGATGGTTATTACCCACCATGTAGGTGCTGGGAATTGAATCTGGGTCCTCTGCAGGTACACCAATGCCCTTAACCACTGAACCATCTCTCCAACCCAAGAATTTTTTTTTTCTTTTCAACGTACATTCATCTACATATGAAGCGAAACAGTCACTATAAAAATTGATGCACTTTTTCTTTCCACATTAAAAGTAATATTCAGTCATGTAGCGTATTTAGCCAACTTTGATCTTTTTCTCAAGCATGACTATGAATTTACAGTGTGCTTAGAGTTAACAGGGCATGAAAGAAAAGGGGCATGATTTAGTGTTGCCTTGTAAATAGAAAGTGAATAAAATATGACCAGCTTTTTATTTGTCTCTAAATAAGTAATATTGTAATTTGGAATGTGATATGCAGGTATTTGAATTTTAAAAGATTGTTTCCAAAGATTCAGCTTCATAGAGTGTGTGCCTAATACTTAGTTTCTTGCTTGGAAATAGTTCAGTAGTGACTGAATTTGGCTTGTACTGACCTGCAAAAGCCGATAGTTAATTTTTTTATTTGTAAGGCATCCATTATTTAACATTTTTAATTATATAAACTTAGCAATTAGTGGCTGGAGAAATGGCTCAGATGTTAAAAGTACTTCCTGCTCTCCCTGTGGACCCAAATTCGATTCCCAGCCCCAAATTTGGTGACATACAACTACCTGTAGTTCCAGCCCCAGGTGATCCAATGCCCTCTCTGGCCTCCATGGGCACCCACACACGTGTGGCATATACTCACATAGTCATACACATAAATAAAAAAATTTAAACTTATGATTAAACATGTTTTAAACTAAAGGTAATGCATACTCAAAACATACTGGTTCCTATATATTTTTCTAATATCTATACTCAGGTTATTTGTGTTTATGATATTTCTGTGGTAGAAATATTATGTTGTAGTATTTACTGAACATCTCGTCTCGCTCTTGATTCAGTGAGTTCATTCATAGTAAAAGCTTGAGAAATTGACCTCAATAAGTACTAACATAGAAATAGACAGATGGTAATAATCCAAAGAGATTGGGTGTATTTTGGCTTACTTTTCAAGGAGAAACAGTTCATCATGGCGAGGATATTCAGTGAATTATTTTTCAGTGTTAATGATCAAACCTAGAGTATGCTGATTAACTTTTTAATTACATTTTTTGCAGATTGAAGTCTGTAGGTGAAATGTGCACGTATACACACATTTCTTTTGATAGTTCATTCTGGGTTTAGCAACTGCAGTGTAGGTGGGACAGCAGCTAGACTCAGGTGTCAGCATTAAGACGCAGGTGCGTTGGTAGGTATGGATTCTGTCCCTAACAAATATATATTCCAGTGGGTGTCATTGTGAAAGTTGGGGGGGGGGGGCGCGTAACACTTTTAAAACATTCACAACTGGAAAACAGGAGGAAGGAAAGGAGAACACTGGCTCTGAGAACTCCAATAACATGCTTGTTTTATTTATTCTGAAATTCTTAAATTTTTTTAAGTTGGAGAAAAGAGTTTTAAGATTCTTTAAATATATGAAATTCTCGCTTTAATTTGTCATAAAAAGTCATAACAAGCACAAATACTTTACCAGTTGTATTTGATATTTTGTTATTGGTTGTGTAATCTCTGAAAAATTTATATGGTTAAAAAATTAAGGAGTATATTTTTAAGTATTACTTTACTTTTGGAACTATAAGCCTAGAATATAAAACTTTAATTCTACTGAAAAAGATTTACACTTTTTAAAAAATATTTTATTATTTTTATTTTGTGTGTATGAATGTATTGCCAGCATGTATGTTAAGTGCACCCATGTGGTGCAGTGCCTGCGAGGTCAGAAGAGGGTGTTGGATCCCCTGGAACTGGAGTTACGGATGGTTGTTAGCCACCGTGTGGGTGCTGGGAATCGAACCTGGGCAAGAGCAGCTAGTACTCTTAACTGCTGAGCCATTTTTAGCCCCTAAACTTTTTTTTTATATTAAGACAACTTTTCCTGTAGACAGAAGCCCATTAGATAAGACAAGGAGAGCTGCTGTCAGCAAGTTCCCAACCACTGGAAGCTTTCTGTAGTCTTCCATTGTGAGAGTAATTGTCTGTCATAACATTTAAAGGCAAGAATAGTAGTGCCCCTGGTACTGGTCACATGCCATCTTTTTTTTTTTTTTTTTAAGCTAAAAAATTTAGATTAAGTGCAATGAAAGCAGCTAGGCACTTTTTATTGTATTGCTATTATGTTGATTATGTGAGTATAAAGGAGGTTGCAGTTATATATATATGCTATTATATATAAATAAAATAGATTGGTGGCTAGTAAGTGCTCCATATCTGAATATAGTATTTTAAATATTTGCCTTTTCTGGCTTGATATTGATATGGCTTTGTAAAAAGTAATTTTTTTCCTTTTTTTTTTTAAATTTAGAAGTCTGTCATGGCTCAAGAGTCTCCCAAAAATTCTGCAGCAGAAATCCCAGTAACTAGTAATGGAGAAGTCGATGACTCCCACGAACATGGCTATAATAGGGTAAGAATACCTTTTTTCTTCTTGATGAAAAGAATTGTGACAAGCTTCTGACAAGACTTTGGTGTTGTTACAAGGGGGTAACTAGAATTTGCCAAGATTAAGCTCCAGCACCATAAGCCTTGCTGTTTAGCTCAGTAATAGGTAACAGACAAGAATCATTAACTGAAATTTTAAGCCGTTAATCAGAATCAGACTGTGTCTGACCATTTGGGCATATAACTTTATAAAGCTACTTAATTTTATTTTTCATAAGAAAATACTGTGTATACAGATTATCCTTTTACAATTTAGCTTTGTCTAACTGCTTTTTAAAGTTCATAATTCCTAAGTAGCTGCTCTTGATTTTGCTGTTAACATCCTAAAAGTCACATATTTTGCTCAGAGAGAAATGGAAATTTGAGGTATATTTTTTGTGTGTGCTGGGATTGAACCCAGGGCTTTGTGCATGCTAAGCATACATACTACTGAGCTACCTCCTCTGCCTTGTACTTTTAATTTTGATCTGCCTCCAAGTTGAAATTAAATTTAATACATTTTAAAGGAACAGTGGGGGTTTGGAGATAATCTAAATTCAAATTTGACCTGTGTCATTTATAGCAGTACAACCTTAAGAAAGTGTTTGCTCTCTGTTTTTGTTTCTATTGTGAAAATTTTATTTATGTTCATGAGGACATTAATATAAGTGAAATCAGTAATATGCCTTATACAGTCAGAAGTGATAGTGATGGTTATTATTTCTGAGATTAAACATTCTAATAATGACATTTGATAAAAGTATACAACTTTATAATTACAAAAAATATGGTTTAAGTATTCTTGAATAAGTTGAAAAGTTCTTCGATTATTTTAAAGTTCAGATAGGATTCTATTTCATATGCTTAAGAATCAACTTCTGTTTCATAGAAGGTAATATTTTAGCTCAGAATTTCTTAGTCTCAGTCTGCGTCAGCTAATTCTTTGTTGTCAGGCACTGGCCTGGTGCTTTGTAAGCTGATTAGCACAGCCTTGGTCTCTTCCTACCGTGTGCCAGTAGTCCCCTTTTCAGACAAGCAGAAACATCTTCAGTATATTTGCTCAGTGACTGTAGGATGGGGGAGAAAGTCACTTCGGTTGGGAGCTACTCTTTTAGATAGATTACTGTGATAGTATAAAATTCCATTGAATTTCATTCATTTTTGCTTCAATAGTTTTTTTAAAAGATTGTCTTCAAGCCACCATAGGGTGGCTATTATCAGAATGCAATAGATGGGGTTATACTTGACTAGCAGTTGTGAGGTGTGTGTTCTCTCTCTTTTTTTAATACAGAACATAAAAAAATAGGAAATAAATACGAAGATTGTGGAGAAAAGAGAACCCTGATACACAATTGCTTGTAAATAAACAGCCATTAAAGGAAACAGTATGAGAGTCCTTGAAAAACTTAAACAATCATAAGATAGTAGAGGTAGAGAAGAAACAATCCCATTTCTGGGTTTGTATTAAAAGAAAATAAAATCACAGTTGTTACAGGTTTTCCCCAGTAGCTAAGATATGGAAGTAACCTAGGTGTTTACTAATGGATGACTAGATACAGAAATAACAATGTTATTATATACAGACATGCATGTCTTTGTGCACATGTATGCACATGCATACATAGGAATATTATCTAACATTAAATAATAAAACCATTAGTGGGCATGGTGATGCACATCTGTAATTCCAGTATTCTGAAGGCTGATGCTTGAGGGTCATGAATCCTGGGCCAGTTTAGGCTGTATAGAAAGACTCTGTCTCAGATAACAATGGGGTGGGGAGGTGATGGGAGTGAGAATGAATTATGAATTTTGCCACTCACTACAACATCGATGAACTTAAAGGATATCTATGCTAAGTGAAATATCTAAGAAAGCAATACTGTATAATCTCATGTATTTAGTGACAGCCTTCTTATTATCTTAAAAACTCCTAATCGTAGAAAAAAAGTGGGAGGGTGTTTAGAAGGGAGGATAGGCAGTTGTTGGTCAAGGAAACAAGCCAGCATTTGGTTTAAAGATGAGTATGCTTTGAAAGTGTAATACACAGCACGATTAATATTGTACTATGTACGTGAATTCTGCTGAGATGTAGTCTAAGGACACACACAAGTAGTAACTAGGTGAGGTGATAGATATGTTTAATTTGTTTGTGGTAATTATTTCACAATGTGTACATATTAAAACGTGTTGTATAGTTTACAGTTGTTTATGTTTTTGTAAATTACACTTCAATAAATCTAATTTTATATGACATCATACTTTTAAAGTGGAATGTATGTTAAATAAAAGGCATTATAAGATTTTAAATAAATAGGTATGCTTCTATTGGGAGCTTTTGCTGTTAATCTAGGTCATTTATATGTGGCTTGTTTTTGAACTCTGCTTTACTTCTTGGTCTTTTTTGTCTGTTCTTGAAATAGCACCACATTATCGCACTGTAGTAATAAACACTGGCAAAAATATCAATTCCAGCCTGGATACCTGGTAGCTCCTTCCCTTAGTTTTGTTCTTCAGGGTTACTTGGTGTATTAAATTCTTTCATGAGTCCTTAAGAGTCTACCTTTCAAATAACACTGAGGAAGTTCTTTGCTTATGCAGTTGAAGCCAGTAACTTGCTTATTTGAAATTTTACTCCTTGGTTAATAACAAATTCTCCTTTTGGACATTCTCCCACAATGTTATTTCACTTCATCTTGTAAGGTAGAGAAGGGAAAGGGGAGATACTCTCTTGGATGTCTCTCCATCGTGAGTGTGAACTTTATCAGTGGCAAAGCCCCCAAAGAAGCAATAATATACTTCAATGCAATCTATCTCATCTTTGTAAAGGAAGTCAGCACCACTGAAGTTGTTTCTGTTTCTGTTCTTGTTGAAAATGTATATACCACAAGTCTCTTACATATTTGACCTTTTAATGAAAACTAACCTTAGCCATGTGTTCCTTTTCCCATATATGGAAACAGTATTTCAAAAGCATTTTTTGAATATGTTATCCTCAAGATCTTTTGGGCATATGTTAATCTAATCTTAACTCACTTTCTTCATTTCATTTTCCTGGTTAATGAACAGGAAATTGTGTTTAACCGCAAATTCACTTTTCTATTTTAGTAAAGATAAAATTTCTTAGAGAAAATAGGACCAAATGTATTAACTGGTATTAGACTATAGATACATATAGGTCAGTGAAGCAGTCTCATGTATCTGGATTCATAACCAGAGATTTCTGAAGTATTTATATGCATCTTTCTTTCATACTTATTTAGTTAGGATCCTATACCTTTTATTTAGTATATATGAAGTTTTACATAAAATTAAAAGTGGTAGCTTCCTGCATTGCAATCATTTGGTTGACCAGCTGGTGTCACTGTGGCACAAGCAGTGCAGTTGTAAATGTTTAGTTGATGTTTTGTTTTTCCTCAGCCTGACCTGAAGGGTCTTATTCCACATTCACATTTCTGTAGATTATAATGAAAACACTTGTACTAGAAGTTCTTTTACTGGCACGTTCATCATTGGCTCATGTATCAGTGCTTCTAGATTTGTCATTTTTTAATTGAGATAGAGGCAACAGCTAGGTGAGAAGAGACGACAGTGATCTTGAGTATATCTCAGTTTTCTACCCTACAGTAATAATACAGCTCCTTCTAAGTAAAAACTGTCCTTAGACTTGAAAGTTTAATCTCCATATAAGTCAGGTTACTCTTTAACTTTTTAAACTGTGTGTTATTTACAGTGAACACTGTTTAAAAAAATGACGAAACAAGAACTAGGTGTGGTGGGCCTCGTCTGCTAATCTCAGCTAGGGAGGTAGAGGCAGGATCAGGTCCTCCAGTACATAGTGACTTCCAGGCCAGCCTGGACACCAGGAGAACCCTGTGTTAAAAACAAGAACAGAAATAACAACAACAAAATACAAAACAAAAATGAAATACAATAGATGCTGTTATAGTGTGTTAATAACTAGAAATGTGCAACTTATACCATGAGTTAAAGGAGCAAAATATTAGCTCCACATGGTTGAAACTCCTTGTCAATTGAGTTATAATTGTCAGACTTGGAGAATTGCCTCATTAGATATAGCTGAAATGGAACTTTTCCTGTGGAATGCCCAAAACAAAAAAACACTTTAGGGGTTTTCCATCACTGAACTCTTTATTTAGAAAAATACATGCATATACAAACCTATCTAATTTTCCATTTAATTTTAGGGAGTTACAGCCTCCTGGACCCTGCTGGCAGGTTTCTTTTCCCTGGCTCTTAAGAATCTGTGGTTTGTAAACTTTGACTTAAATCACAGGCTACTAATTCAGTAGGAACACCTTAGAGATTGTAGAATCTCACTTTATAACAGAGGTAGAGAGCCCTGGAGGATTTCATAGCTGAAGCCTCTGATTCAGCTTAACTGCAGTGAAAATAAGATCTCTCATTCATTTCGTTATTTCCAGGCCTGACAGAAATGCTTGCCACATAATAGAGACTTTCAGTAAATATTTTATGAATGGGTATTCACTCATGTTAGAGCCGGGCCTAGAAATAAGTTTCTAGAGTTCTGTGGAGAAAAGGGAAGAAGTACTATAGTTTTAGATTGACTACGTTTTGTTTCTTTATTATTCCTGCATAAGCTGTTGTTTGCTTTTGAGCATATGCAGTCTTTGTTGTTTGAATTCTTAAGGCTTTTGTTGAACTACACAGTTTCTTCCTTCCCAGGCTGAAGATTTTTGAAAGTGCTACAATAGGTATCAGAAATGGTCAACTGTTTGAGCATGTGTCTACCTACTACCTCCACCCTGACCAGCCCAGCGTTGTGACTTTTTCATCTGCTTTTCTTTGTTTTTGATTTATTCATTTATCACTTACACGCTTTTCCTAGGTGGTTACAATCACTAATAAAGCAGAGACAGGATGTGCTCAAGGCACAGTTTATGGTTCATTTACCTACTTCTGCCTTCCTGTTGTAGAGTTTGAGTGGAGTGTGGTAATAGTGTA